TTCAGTGGGTGAAATTTATAGTAGAAATAAGTTCATGTTGGGGGAAACAAACTATTCTTACTTTGGGATTTTGATGCTTTCATCTTCTCTGCTATAACAAATGACAGTTTAAGTGCTTGTGACACAAGTGGAGGAGACATTTTTCCATGTGCACACTATTAGTCATGTTACAGGTTCACCTTGCAACTCTGATGGGGCTTCCACGCCTCACCTGAGCATCTAGAAAACAACCCTAACAAAATAAAATTATATCCTTCTGCTGTTTTAATTATATAAAGCAGCTAGTGGAAGCATCTGATAGGAATCAGTGGTGCAAGCAGTGAGACTACTAATTGCTCAGGCAGGGATTATAGAAGGTAGCAGTTTATTAAGATTGTTTTAGCTGCCTGAAACAGCATGTTCCAGGAGTTCTGTATTACCATTTTTCTGTAATGAACATTATGTTTTAAATCGTTCCCTGCAATTTTGGGGGGCAGTGCTGATGGTGAGGTGGACTAATTTTTTTAATGAGTGACACTTACAAGGATTTGCCACTCTGAAAATAATCACTGTGCTTTTGGAAAATATTTGATGAAATCTGTTGTCAAAATTCTGTTGAGGCAAAGTGCCTTATTATTATTCACCTGAGAGGATGAGCTAGCTGACTCAGGGTGGAAGCTATCCCTTTTTTCCTTGGCATAATAGCGTGTTAGTTAGTTGCATGATGTTGTCCATAGCTGTGTGAAACAGCTGGCACCAAGAATAGCCAGAGTGGTAGCTGCAGCAGTGTTGCAGAAAAAAACCCAGAACAATGGTTGTTAAACACTACACTGGTAATTCTCCCACTTCTTCAGCTCAGGATATTCTGGAAGCTTCAAGTCAACTGCATGTTGAAGGTCAAGGCAATTATTCAGGATATAAAATTATTTTCTCTAGGGGACAAAGTTGCATGGCTCCAAGTGACTTGGTTGATAATTCATCAAATTTAATTTTCATGGGAGTCCGAAAGGCTTGGGATATCTAGAGACCATGGTTTCCTCTCATTTCCAGATTCTGTACAAAATTAATTTCCTACAAATATCTGAATGACTGCAAAGTGATTTAGACAGATGGTCTAACTGGCTTCATGGGTCTATAGTTTCCCTCAGAAGGAATTCCTTGCCAAAATTGTATTTGTTCCAAACTTTGGTTTCCTATTTTCTAGCAGGAAGCTTTTCTCTGCTGATTTAGAGCTAGAGGAAAATGGCAGTGTAACCAAACATCCTCCTGGATCAGCATGGGAAATAAGCTTTTTTGGAGAAGAAATCTTTGCTTAGAAAATCCATTACAGAAATTGTGACAGTATACACATTACGGCATTGTTTACAACAGTGGGTTTTACAAATCAAGAAAAGTTGTAGCTGAAAAAACTACTCGTAAATATGCCTTCTAAGTGAAAATAGTGTGGCAAAAGCCTGGATAACTAAAAAAAAAAAAAATAATAGTATCTAAGCCATCAAAAATTTTGAGGAGAGGGAAGCTTAATTGGATTGTTGTGCTTGTGAATGTCTGTGTTAAAACTAAAGCAGCATTTTAAAAGCTGAGTCAAATTTTAAAGTTAATTCCCACAACATGGATGAATCTCATTCCATGACAGGCTTTCAGTTAGAGCAGAGAAAATACCAAGGGCAGATAAAATCTTTTGAGAGAGTTAACACTAATTTAAATGGTTAATTTCCCTTGGAGTTTTTATTCCTGTGGTGTTTGTTTTCTTAAAAATGTGCTCCAAAAAAGCTTGCTTTCTTCATTCATCATTTTAAGTTAATTTCATGTATTCTCCTTGTCTTGTTCTATTTCTGAACAGGAAACTGACCATATGAAATATTAGTCAGGTATCAGTTCCTGATTTAACACCATCTAAACTAATTTTTCAAACCGTGTTGAAACCTCCCTATGCACCACTGCTCTGTATAGTATGCTTTAAGGACTTTTGTTTTTTGTGATGAAACAGAATCAAACAACATTATGTTCTGGAGCTGTGGGGATTTTTTAATGTACTGGTGTTTTGGTATCAAAGGAACAGGGAAGATGGTTTTTCCCTATAAACTGATGAGTATACAAAACTTTTTGAATCAGTTCTTGCTAGATGAAGTAGTAAAACTGGTAACTTAGTCATGATCTGAAATGTAAAGAATTGTTCTCCTTTAGCTTAGATATTGAATAAAAATGAACTCTAAAAAGACAGGATCTGTCTAAATGGAAATGTCATTTTAAATTACTGGAAACTGCCTTAAGTAATCTAGCTTGGAAGAGTCATATCACTGTCTACTTATGTATGATCAGTTAATAAACAAAATACCAGTAGAAGTGTCATAAATATAGCCCACAGATTTGCAGAAATAGTACAAACACTGCAGCTCTCGAAATGACTTCATGGGAAAAAAATGATAGTTACTTCTCCTGGCACAAATACACTGTTACATTTCAAACTAGTTTTTAATTTTTATCTGCTCAAATTAGGTAAAATTTTATCCTCGGTTCTAGTCCAATGTGATATATAGGTAGATATTATAATTTGAGAGGGAAAATGTATGCTGAAATTACCACCTATTCTTGAATCTATGGACAATTGCTATGGATTAGCTAAAAAGCATTTTAAGACAACACAAAATGGTTTAGAAAAGCAGAGAATTTTTATCTGTTGTCCTAGTGATTGAGCTGTACCTATTAAAACACTCAAACAAAGAATTTTGAGTCCAACTATTTACCACTGATATATTTTTTTCCTACCACATCTAAAATATTTTATTTCAAAGTTTCTAGTTGCATTCACTGTCAGTACTTCTCTTGTTGTGTGAACATTATATATTGTAATGGAGAAACTTTCTACCTGCAGAACTGTCATTAAAAAAAAAAATAAATTGGCAGAGATGATGAGTTGGAAAGTATTTTTGGATATTACTGTTTTTTATCCCAAAAGGCTGGCTCATGCTGCACAGACTAAAGGAGGTAGTTTGGACATATCTTTTAGAAACAAGGCAGACCTTTCTATCCAGCATGGCATCCCAGCTGATGGTCAGGGGGATAGGACAGACAGGCAGATGCAGCAGAGCTCAGTTTCCTCCAGTAGGAGCCTCGGTCACAATTGCTGACAGCATATTTGGGAAGGTCATGTCTTCCTACTACCGCCTCCTCAGATTTCCAAGTTGGGGATTTATTTAGTGTCTTGTTTTGGGGGTTTTGCACCATTATGTTTATTTTAAATCAAGTTTAGTTACACATTTTAGGTACAAGGAAGGAAAAACTTCTTATCCTTTAGTGCTTGGGCTGTCACTGGGGATTGGGAAAAATGAGACAGCTGAAAATAAAAGAGAGAAAAAGCCTGACAGAGGTAAAGACAATCATGATGGAAAGCAAGGAAGAAGCATCTGGAAGAGGACATCAGAAAAATACAAATATATTTTGAGATAGAAACTGTCTACATCTCAGTAGAATAGCTCCCTGAAAGAAAATAGGGAACTGAATGGAGAAATTTATTTATATATATATATATATATATATATATATATACACACCAGCAAAGCTGTATAAGGGAGTCTTCAGACTGGAGGTAATATAGCATGTGAGCATGTCTTCAGGTATCTGTTGCTAAAATGGTCATTTGTTTTCACACTGTTATTGATTTAAAGAAGAAGCCATTGGTTTCCCCATCACTTCAAGCTTTATTTCAGTCTACTTGTAATAGGTGTCAAGGTCCTGTTTCTGTCATAGGGCACAATGGAATTTTAAATTATTACCAGGTATTAAGATTTAGCATTTACATAAGATTTTCATGCATTAACTATTTTATGGATGTGCTCTAATTAATCATCTTAGCATATACAGACTGTAAGAAAATGCAGCTGTTTTGCAGATGGCAAAACTGAAGTCGATTGAATTGCTGGAAATGCAAAAATTGCTTTTATCAGTAGCACTGCTTGGTAGTCAGGCTGTTTGCCTTCTACTATTTGTATCTGCCTTTCCTTTCTGGTCATTGTGTACTGGATCTCTTTGGATTAATTTGATGCAATAGTGATGAAAGGTATTACTATTAAAGGTCAGCTCTGCAGTACCTCTCTCTTCTTTGTTGGGGGACAAGGAATACAAAATGACAGCTATTGATATGGCAAGAGTTCCTAGGTTACTTATATACCTATCACAAAGGCCTATTTTCCTGAAAAATTTCTGCTGCTGCCAAAGGAACTGATGACTTACTTCATAATGGATATTTAATCACCCATGGTCTGTCTAGAAATATGTATATATTAGTATTCAAGTGTTATTCACCACGTGGATGTTTGTTATTTGTTGTTTCTTGGTTTGAGATATATGCCTAAATAAGGTTATTTAAGAAAAGAGAAACTGCTATTAAGGTTAAAAGAATATATACCATGTAAGTCATAGCATTCAATGGCTTCAATGTCAGGCAAGCACTCGGTTCTATCAGTTCTTGTCATAATTCCTTCCTCATACTTGCCAGCCTCTTTTATTAATGTAGGTGAGCTAACACAGTTCACAAAATTGAAAAGTTTTTAAAACATATCTTGGCTAGACAGGAAAAAAAACTAAACTTGTGAACTTATGAAATGCACAGTCAGGAAAGTAGAAATTAGTGGCAAAACCTTTGTCAATGTTCACTCTTAGGTTGCATATAATTTCAGAAATTTCACAGCAGGTTCTAATGTGTTTTATAATTTGAATTTGAGTATGGGCTCAATTAGCGTATATATAACCATTTTATCTAGCAAAGTTGTTTTTCAGGAACTTTGCAGTAATCTTTAGTTTTTCTCCCAGGAATGTGTTAACAATATTGGATAAATCTAAATTCAACATTTGTGGTGTCTGTTGGGACTTCCAAAACACTGTATCAATAATTTCTAACCAAAATAGTTTGAGATTATGGACATTCTGTAAAAAAATGTTATTGCAGCTGTTGACAAAACATAGTATTTTTCCCTCCCTATTTTTGGCCAAATAATAAAGATTCTAATTTCATTCACAACAAAGGTTAGTAATGCTTTATTACATAAAACTATTTATTTGGTTTTTTTTAAAGACAGGAATATCAAGTCTTTTTTCGTTGCATGTATTCAAACATCCCATTTTCTCAATATTATCCACAAAGTTGGAACAGAGAGTTTGGTCTCCATTTGTTGACTTTTCTTGTGCATGAATACACAATAGCAGTTGTTTCTAAAGAAAAAATCCCTTTGTCAGATCCAAGCAAAATACGAAGGCTTTAGGACAGTGCTATAAGGAGATGACAAAGAGAGAATGAGTTGAGAACAGGTTCAAGGCTTTATAAGAAGAAACTTCAGCATCCTACAGGTGGCTTCTGAAGCTGCCTTCTGCTAACTGAAAATGAGGCTGTGCACATAACCTGTCTGGTAAATTCGGGTTATCAAAAGTAGGCTATGTCTTATTGAAAAACTATATTCTGAAAACACTTCTTATTTATTTTACAGTATGTACATTTCAACAGCCTGGCTGATTTTAGGTGAGACTGAGGTATCAATCAATCAGCATCCTTTTAAAGGATGTAATCAAAACTGTAAAATAAAGTGCTTGTTTGCTTCATCTATGTGTTCTGTGTTCTTATGTTCCTCATGTCTTTCAGCAGCATTGGTCTGTAGAGCTCCTCCAAGCTTTCCATGTAGTCTAAATAATCACTGACTCGAAATCCATGCAGTGCTTCCTCCTGCACAGATACACAGAGAAAGCATTTATTAGCTAGGAAAAAAAAAGGAAACCTCCAATTTAACGAATTCCAAGCTTCTAAAGATAGCTCATTTTTTTTCCGATTGTCAGAGCCTGGCTGTTTAAAATAGATTTTATTATGTTTTATTTAGAAATACAGATTTGGCAATATCTGCTTCCAGACAGTTTTTTTTTCTTCTAATTACATACTTGGTATCAGAGAATTTAATTTCACTGGGATGTTGTTTATCTAATTTCTGGAGAGTATTTCATTGAAGATTTTTAAGGAAATGAAAGTAAGCTTTAAGAAGGGAAAGCCAGGTACTAAAATATTCTTTTGAAAGAAGATGCCTACACCAGTACATGGCATAAATTTATGTGTGGCTTTTATATCCAGCTAGATTGTAAAGAAAAACAGGAGATGAGGATTTTTTTAAATCAATGATAAAAGAAGATTTTCATGAAGTGCTTAAATAAAACCAGAACAAACCATTCTGCACTACTAAAAGTGAATAATTCTTACTAATTCCAAAACACAGAGTAAAAGGAACTGCCCTCAGAAACAAATAGATAATATTCCTTCTCATGGCTACTATATTGGAGGGATAAGGAGGATGCTCCACAGAACACAGGATCCTGAAGAATGGTTAAGTGTAAAAAGGGTTAATTTGTTACTGTTATGTACTCATCATCTACTAATCATTATTACCAATGTTGGCAGCATGTGCTGCAAAAAAAACTCTCTGGAGCCAGTCTCTGTGGACACAAGCTGTACCTCTGGTGTATTAGCTGTGAATCTCTGCTAAATAGAATTCTCCTGAGAACATCTACTCAGGCTTGGAAAACTGCACTTTGGCATCTGAACAGGAATTCAAAATAGTCTTTATATTTCTTCTCCTCTACACAGAAGCAAAGCAAAAGTAAGATTTTACCTTCCAAGTTGCTCCTCATGCACTGTGAGAAAGCTGACTATGGTAGAATATAAAATTATATATATAAATTTATATACACACACATATATCTGGAATTAAATGGCATGTAGTGACAGAACAAGGGGGAACAGATTCAGACTCAAAGAGGGTAGGTTTAGATTTCGTATGAGGAAAAGCTTTACTGTGAGGATGGTGAGGCACTGAAAAGAAGTTGTGGAACACAGTGGTAGTATTCAAGGCCAGGCTCAATAGTGTAGTGGAAGATGGATAGGAACTAGATGATGTTTAAGGTTCCTTCCAACCCAAACCATTCTACAGTTCATTTTTTTTTTTGTTTTAATTAATTAAGACTTACCAATAGCAGGAGTTAAAGTTAAGTATGCTCCTTTTTTTCTGCCCTAGTCACTCTATAAATTGCAGATGTTCCAGTACTGCATTAATTTACATTCTTTTCTCATTAATTTAACAGTACCATGCCAAACCTTTAGCCTGTTTGTACATGTGGCAATGTACAATTTCTTTCTTCTGTATTTTACATATTCTATCCAACAATGCCATCAAGATACAGCTTTTAAGACACTTTGTCCAAAAACAGGGAAAACAAAACAATACATCCATTAGACTGTGTAACAAACATTTTCAAGAAAGCTGATTTGGCTCAGATACTTTTCCATATTTAAGCATATGTTAGTTGGATGAAAACTAGTCAGAAAACTATTATTCTTGGGACAGACTAAGATGCAGATATCTAGTTCACAAAAAAATTTTGACAGGTGAAAATAAACTAGCAAAAAAGACAAAAAATGTCCCTGTGAAGAAGAATAAGATACCCTATCAATTTATGACTGCAGCTACAGCTATGCACTACCCTGCAAAAAACCCCAAACATAATTTATAATTGGGAAAGAATATGAAATTGCAAGGCTGGTTGTATGGTAATTGGCATTTCTTCAAACTACCACCTTGATCAGCTTTGTGCCACATCTCTACAAGCTTCAGAGACAAGAGACAACTGCGCAAACCCACCTTTCTGGAGAGCACCTCGTTCAGTGAGATTGCGCCCACATATACAGAACTGAGTCAAATGCTCTCCCAAGTTTATGTGCCTATTTTCTTTGCTCATGAACAAAATTGCTCAGTAAAAAAACGAAGGAAAACTATTTTCTGGAAAATACTATACACAATTTCCTGCTAGGGAAGAAATAAAATTAAAGTATTATTTCACTTGTTTAAAATGACTAAGTGAAATTCAGAAAGAGTTTCAGATTAAGTAATGTATATATCCTGAGTATTCAGAGCTTTGCTTCTCCTCAGCAGTTGAAAAATGAGGAAACCCTTACTTTCAGAAAAACCTGAAGATCTCGGGCTTCTGTGTGCTTCAGGATGTCTTGCTGTAGGTGTCTGAACAGAGAAATACATATATATATCTGATAATCAGGACCAAGGAAAATACATATGGCAATATAGTGACAGATCTCACTCCAATCCATGTAATTCCAGAAACACTGAGTTATCCATTGCAGACAGATCTGGATAAGAATAAAATGACATATCATTAAATCATTCTATACATTCAGTCATAATTAATCAGCTTTATCTCTTTTCTATACTACAGAACCTTTTCCCTGTAACATTACCCCAGCTATGAAAATAAAAGGGATAAAGTACAAAAGATGCCAAGATTCTTCATTTTTAACGCACAGCCTTTGAACAGATTCCTAGTGAGTTAGACTAACCATTACAGCCTGTATCCATGCAGCTCACTTGTATGAACGTATTCCAGCGCCTCCTGAGGTTGAGACTCAAAGCCCAATGAAAGAAAAAGTGATTTTTTTCAAGATTTTTGTTTTAAATGTGTCCTGAAGGGTAATGACAGTGATGAAGACATGTTCAACATGGGTTTTCCTTTCAATTAAAGTAGTTATATGCATTATAAATGAACATTAGGTCCTCCCCTAAAGCACATTTTCATTTAATGAAGTGAGTATGAACACAGTGACTCCTTTGCCCTGATCTAAATTACAATGTATTAGGAGGTATAATGAACATTTCATTTGGTTCTAGACCACAAATCTTCTGATAATCATTCCTTAAAGTGTTTAAAAATATGCAGCAGAATTACCACAATTCCAATTAGATGACAATCATAGTCTGGCAGTAAATCTGTTTTGAGGTATTTATTGAGGCACACAATCATTTAAATACATCAGAATTGTTTCTACAGTTCAGAGTTTGTTTTTAATGCTGCAGTAAAACTGCAGAATCACAGAGAAGATACAGTGGTACCCACAAGTGGTATTTCAGTAGCTCATTAAATAAATGAAAAAAAATCATTATTAGCAGTTTTGAACAGTATCTAGTGTACTACTGAGTGCACACAATTTAAAAAATGAAATAGTATAACTTGCACAAGAATAGCTGAAGGAGTGACTGTCCCCTTGTATTTTCTTCATCCTAAAACAGGAACCTTATTGCAAGCACCTTATTCCTATGCTGAGATAAATTCCTTCATCTGCCACTCTTTTCTCACCAAAAAACCAAACCCCAAGATGACTACTTTAAGCAATGTTCGTACCACACTGGCATCTGCCCCATTAGAGTCTCTTCAGCTGCAAATCGTGCAGCAAAAAGGAATTTTGAAGGCATAGGATGAAAAATATTTTTCTTGCCTTGGCACAGCAGTACACTTCCTCACTCTGGCAAGATGTCCTCTGCATGGACAATTTAATTCACTGCACAGAGTTCTTTACCCTTCATCATGACTGCAATCTTCACAAACAATGCTTCATCCTTAGCTTTCAATACCACCAAACAATTGTTGTAAGTAGGCAAAATGAAAGCTGGTGTTATAGATAATTATTCTGCTGTTGTAACACTTCTTTAATATGAAAGAACAGTGTGTTACCTGATTGCAATAGTTATAGTAGCTCATAAAAAATTATTTTTTCTCTAATATCACAGGAACTGCTTCCTAGTATATAATTACTGCAAATTACTCATTTCTCTACTATGGAAGATTTAGTAATTGTTCCAGGGAATAAGGTATTTTGTTTAAAGGCTAAATCTAAGGATTTATTATATATTATTTTTATCAATTTTTCTTCATGAACATGTAATAAGAGGTCATCAGCTCCCGTACACTGGTATTATTCTATGAGTCAGTCACTTTCTATTTTCAGATACTCAGATAAGTCGCTATGTGTTTTTATCTCTTACCCTCAGTTTTATAACCACACAAGTGCCATTTAGAAAAAAATGGCCAGTAGTTCCTCAGTGTTCTTGATTTTGCAGATTTAAGTCAATAGGTTGATGATCACTTAATAGACTTTGATTGGTTACCTGGGATGGAGTGAAACCAGACATGTGGAAGGCTGAACAGACAAGGGGCAACTCAGCTTTCAGCAACATTTCAACGTGGTGAGCGCTGCAAAAATAGACTGGATGGATGCCATATTCCACTGTTGTAACAGGCAGGTGCATCTGGTTAACAACAACATCATCATCATCATCAACAATGAAATTGAGGAACAGGATTACAGACTACAGAAATGTGTTGGTTTTTAATGCCTTGCTGAGAACAATATATAAAAATATACCCTTTATATATGTAAGATAAGTAATTCTGATTATTTTAGAGACAGGAAACAGGATAAACAAAATAGGTTGTACTTCCATCAAGAAAAACATGTGGGTAATTAAAGTGTTAATGAAAATATCCTGATTGTTACTGTGCATTAGTAGTCTAGCTCCTTATTGTATACAGGCTTTAATTGTCAAAACAGGGATGGAGAAACTGTTGTTATATTTTAAACAGGAGAATAGAAATTAAAAAAAAAAAGATTGATTTCTACTGAATATTTTTCCTTCACTTTGTGGTGGAGTAAAACTTCATGGTATTTCAGCTTATTTTTTGTGTGCACATATCTTTGGAGTATTTGTGGAGGCTGTGAGTGAAATTCTATTATGTACCACGAAAGGAGCAGAGGTTTTATCACTATGGAAGGCTCTGGATATCAATGCCCAGTTCCAGCTAATGAATCCTTGGCAGCAGTGGTTTTTCAGCACTAGCAAAGTGAAGCAAATTTCAGCACAAATTTCATTATGTTGGAACAACCTCAGGCCAGATTCAGTGCTGAATGGACCGATATTATCACTCCTCCTTGTGACAAGACAGATCACTTGGTATTGCTACAGAAGCCTCCATGCAGAAGAAACACAGAATCTAATCTGTGCTTTTTGTATCTCAGAGTTCTCTGGAAGTCTCTACTACAGTTTAGAGTTTATGTTCAAAACATGACAATGTACAAAGGGTTTTATTTTAAATAGCTGAAAACTCCCATAATGAAAGATAGAAATGATGCTTCCTATATTACAACCTCAATCCAGATACTTACAATTTAAAATTGTCAATCATACAGTATTTGTGCAGTAATAATTTTTAAAAGTTACTAAATATACTCAAATGTATTAAGTAAATTTCAAAACTGTCACTAAAAAAACCCCAAAAATCAGATTGACAGACTTGCTCTTACTGGAATTTGATAATTAAAAAAAAAAAAAAGGTCATTCAGCAGTATCACTGACTTAACACAGAATTTAGTGCCACTAACAAAGTTTGTTTTACTGCCAGCTTTAAAATTCATTAACATTGTCTTCACTGCACTTGCTACTTCTCTCCTTTTAAACAAAAATTTGAGCAAGTATCAGATCTACATTTTTCCATTAATTTTTCAGGGTCATGTATTTAGCTAGTGGGGCTTAGGGATAATATAATGCATTAGAAAACTAAACAAACAAACAAAAAATTGCCATTAAAAAAAAACCTAAGGAGGTTAATAAACTCTCATTTTTAAACTTTCACAGGAGCATTTCAGAAAGAAACAGGTTATAAATTCTTACGGATAAATGCAGTCTTGGTAGCCAGAGAAATGCTGAAGCAAGAAGACATGAAAATTGCTGAAGAAACATCAGTGTCCTCTCCCTGTCCCCTGACATTATGAGGAAGATAGAAGATGCAAACCAGTCATAACCAGCATAGTGCTCCTGCAAGCAGCCTGGACAAGAAGGTTAAGGAACTTGGGCAGAGATCTCCTCCTCACTCTCCTGCAGCAGCCACAGCTCTCCTCCTTCCGAGGTCCTTGCACACAGAGCCAGGAGCTGGGTTGTTAGGCATGACCAAGGGGAACAGAACTGCACAGAAGGCAGCATCAAGGCACAGTTGTCTCTCAAACTGAATTAAGAGAAACAATTTAAGCTGTTTTCCCCATATACTAAAATTTTTCAGTCCATATGTAGTAAAGCTAAATCAATAAAAGTAAACAAAAAAGCAAGTAAATGCAAAAAAAATCCGCACCAAAATGAGTGTGCTTATAAAGTGCAAGAAAGGAGAAGAGTGGAGGAATAAAACAGGACTTAAAATTATTGGGGAAAAAAAAAATGTAAAAAGCCTTAAAAATGAGATTTGGCACATTCTGACTAATACACCCAAAGTATAATTTAACAGTGGTATGCAAGTTAAACAGAGAATAATATAGCAAAGCTGCTTGAAAAGCTATTATCGGTTTCAATATTTTTAACAGGAAGTTCCACGGTAGATGCAGAAGAACCAAAAGTCTAACCACTGCTGTTGATCTGACTACACTTATCACTACATGGGCAGTATCATTAACAGTGTTGGTATTGTGGGAGTACCACAAATACTCACTAATGTTCAAAGGTTCATCGCTGCAGGCTCTTTATCACATTCAAAGATGTGATCCCACTCCAAAACAGTTGATGACAAAAGTGAATGTGATTTGCACTTCTAACAAAGTATGGGAACAAAAGGGTGAACATTTTCCTAAGTGCATTGGGAATGCATTTCACTTTATAAAATTTAAAAGTGCTCTTCTAATTTTCTTTTTCTTTCCATAAACATAACACACCTACACCTGTATTAAAAGTACAAACCAGGAGTTCAAATTCCACTGAAATTTTTAGACAATATAACTTACACCATCAGCAAAGGATACAAAGTGAAGATACCACAGTTCTTTGCTGTTGTTTCAGAAACTCCTCACAATTCTTTAACACAAAACACAGCCCATTTTCAGCATCTTCTTTTAGCAAGTTTAAGTATTTTCCATATCTATTTCATAAAGTGTAAAAAAAAAACCCTCTTTAGTATTTTTTGAATTCCTAAAAAGGAAGAACTCATATTTAATAAACCTGTAAAAGTTACGCTGTCATAAAGTTGTTCATCACTAAAACTATGCTGTAGATATACACATAGATCATGAAATAAAACTTGTGCTCTGTCTAGAAAGGATTCACAGCAAACATCTGCTGCTCATTGTTACAAATCTTCACCCAAATTCCCTTTAGTTCAGTTTTAGAGACAGTGGTGGGGATGAGCAAGTACTCCATCACACACAACTCAGTTTCTTCACGTACAATATTTAGAATTCGATATCATTATTGTGCGTGTAATTATTATAATCAGAATTCAAACAATAATGCTAAAGATAGCAATCCGTGGAAGTACAGACATCTAAGCTTTTCCTTCATCACAGCTCTGCAAATTCCCAGCCAAATAAAATGTTTAAATGACATATAACTAAGCTTAGCTAAACAGAACCATTTAGAGAAGTAATGCAAGGGAAAAAAAGACACATAATTTAGGATAATGCAATTTTATGGTAAATCTTACTAGCACGTTACAATTAGTCTTTACAAAAATAGAGGATAATAACATACATAAACTGTAAAGATAATTTAATTCTGTTCTAATACCTTTTTCAATTCTAGTTAGAATTCATTTTCTTAAAGTTTATCTTAGATTAAATGCTATAAAGCAATGAGTTGATGGATTAAGTATTATTAAAGTCATTCCATGAAAATCAAACAAATCCTAGAAACACTCTAGGGAAATACTTTAATACCATGTACCTGACTGTCATTTCAACACCAAGCTGCTGCACAGATGAAAGGTTTTCTTTCTTCACATCTGCATCCATGGCTAAAACAAAATAAATTAAATAAACTGTTACAAGAAATATGATTTGAACTGAATGCTAATGTAAAGCTCTTTCTGTGTATGAATACCAACTCCGGAGAATTGTCTCCTATTCAAAATTATTTTGGCAGTGTTTGGAAAGGAGTCATAAAAAGTCTCCATTCTTCACAAGACTTTTTTTTTAAATGAAAATCACCCTTGTTTTAAAAAAATCTTCATGGTTGGTATGGTTATCATTACATTGAGAGAAAGCAACATCTTTTTCAGCCCCATATCTTAGTAGAACTTTATCCTTTCTGGCCTAGAAATCAGACAAGGCAGCCTATTCTGTTCCACTTGCTACCATTCCAGAGGCCTTAAAATTTCCTAGCTGTAATTCCAACTTTATTAACAAAAATTCTATTCTGATATGAATCACAGAAAACTTTAAAACTGATAGATTTAATACATTAATTAAATCCTATATTTACATGCAATTTTTTCCTATAGTAAAATATGCCCCATTTTCCGCAGTTGTTTCAATTAAAAATCCAAGCTAGAAAAAATTAATAAATAAGGATTTAAAGCAACCACTGCTGTAGCATTTCCTCAAAATTTTTAATTCTAAATTGAATTTTAAATGGGCATTTTCCCTATCAGGTACATGTTATCATCTAAGATAACTATATCACAGATAAAAATTGCAGTCTTATAATATTATGAGTTACAAAGCTCAGGGAATAAACCTTGAATATACTTCTTTGAAAGTGCTGCTTAAAACCAGAAAGAAATGAAACAAATTAAAACCCTTATTAACTGACAACATTTGTTTAAAATGTAAATAAGAGATACGTCAGCAGAAGTTAAAGTATTTTCATGTAAACAATAAATGTAAAAATCTAATTAAGCAAATCACACAGTAACTTCTTATGCATTTTTTCTATATCCTCAGACAGAGAAATCAAAGTGAAGGATTCCCTGACTATTCATGTAGGTAAAGACTATGTTCCTGCCACATAAACAGGGACTAAGGTAGTAAAGATGAAATAGTTAAGTTCAGGGAGGAAAGGACTCAAAGAGAAAACAAACAAAGAAACAAAACAAAAAAATCCCACCAAAACCCCAAAAAAATAAGATTCAATCTGCTCATATCAGATGGAGTAGGGCAAAATTTTTATGAAGAAAATAATACAGCAAAATACACTCAACAATGAAGCAATAAAATTCAGCAGAGTAAGTACGGCAAGAATAAAACCCCACTCTGTTTTATATTTTTCAGAGAACAATAATTTGTGTTAGCATTGTGAGAAGTTAATCTTGTACCTTTGACAATATATTTATACATAACAAATATCAACTGCTCTTTGAATAAAATTATCTTAATAATCTGATGGGACTGAAACAATAAACACACATTCAGAGAGGTTTTATGCAATCCAAAGAACAGAAGTTCAAATATCTTTTGCATAGCATACCAGCAGCACAATCTTTGGAAGAATACAATTAACTTCCCAGGGTATTTCAGTTAAAACCCCATGGAGATTACTGAAACTTTTATAACTTTTTACAGCTCCTGTTCCAAGTTACCTGTTTACTCAGGCTGCAATTGCCATATGAAGTCAATATATCTTCAAGTTTGTGTGTGCAAGTGGGAAGGCAAGAAGCGTACATACATCCTAGGAAATAGGGGGAATTTAAATGAGTTGACTGTGGCTAATGACTAATTCAGTCCTAACACCACCAAGTTTAATGGCAGCAGAGGGCAAGGACAGCAATGACCTCTAAGCTCCACTGCAGTCCTGCTTTCACTTTGAGGTTGATCCTCTTGTGGGTGGCAATGCAGGTTTCCCAGTCCAGCAAAGAAAAGCTGTCACAGCCCACTGTGTGACCCCAGTGTCCGCCCTGTAACAGTTTACAGCAAGTACTGAATGCTCATTGTCATTAACATTAAAAGAACACAACTGACTTCACTGATTTTCATTGACTTCTCTATTGTAACAATTTCTTAGTGGCTGGAAAGGGCTTTTTTTTTTCCACCACACTTGCTTCTTATATTTTTCTCTGTATTGTGAAGGAAGATAAAATTAACTTGAAGTCTGGACTGAATAATAATTCTCTAGCACACAGTACCTTATCAAGGCAAAACCTCTTGCTTTCAGACACCACTGTATTCCACATAATCGCAGCTCTGTATCCTCCTAATGCAAAAATTGTGGTTCTTTGTCCTGGGTCAAAAGTTTTTATTTTCCCTTTTGTTTATTACTTAACAAACTGGGAAGACTAGGCCTAAGAACACTGTAAAGTCATTTAGAATACACAAAGGACTACTTTCCACTAATTAAAAACTGGACCTAGAAACAGTAAATGCTCCATTAAACTTAGAAAAATGCTATGAAAAACAAGTGGAATATTGCAATCCATGGACAAAAAGCATTCTTGCTGGACTGTACTATTGTGATGATGTCCATATATCTGATTTAATGCACTGAGTTAATTTTATACAAAAATGCTTTGACAAATATTTTTCAATACACCTGATATAACTGTCTTGAAACACAAAAGGCTTCATAACAAAAAGGCATAGAGAAAAATCAGTTCTCTAAATAAGAATGCCATTCATCGTCAAAGGCCAGACCACCTCTCTGAACTGTGAATTAATAAAATGATACAGCACTCTGGCTGTTATTAAATTGAATGAACAACATATTTTGGCAGCTTCCTTTTTATTTACCTTAAAGCAAAATAATCTATGCTGAACAGATATTTCACACTTTTTTTCTTTAAAAATGAAAAACACTGTAAAACAGAAGCCAAAATTAAACTGGTGTCTTGAATGATATCAAAATTCTCTAGGAGCTGATTTAAGATTTAAGAAAATTCTTAGAAAGCACCTCAATGGGAAGCACTTTTCAAAATGTTTTATAACATTCAGGGGCACAAAAAGAGGCTCTCATGAGGCATGATTTTTTAAATTATTAAACTCAGTCTATAGCTATAAGCACTCCAGCATAAATTAAACTGACATGCATAGTCCTGTGGCGTTCTTTCTGATCAGCTTACACTTCAATTAAGTTTACAATTTATATTAAGGATTGCTTTCTTACTAATTTTTCCTCTTACCATGACAAAGCTTTTCTGTGGTTAATTCAGAAAATGGTCTACATAGCATTCATACTGAAATGACAGGATGCTAAACTGAAATAGCTTTACAGCATATGTCATGTAACTTGTATGGTCTTTGGATAATATTTAATTTATTTCCCTGTTTAAAGTGTTGTTACACCAAAGACACAACTGGCTTCCCTTTTGTCCTAAGTAAAAAATATTTCTAAAGCTGTCACTCACATCACTGGTTTAGCTCTTTCAGTTCCTGGTGTCCAGGCAAAATGGTTTTATGTCTATATAAATAATTTTTGGAATATACTAATGGATGCTAAATTTTAACTTCAGTGACAATAAGAAAGATTAGGTTTCTTTCTATGGATGAAAAAGACTTTTGATTCAAAGAAAATATTTAAGCAAAGGTTCTGCAAACAGCTGAAAATACCATGATAAACAGAGCTACCTGCATGATTCTCACAAATGCTTTAAAATACTTAGAAGTATATAGGTATATTTGCTATCAGATTTCTAGTCTATGGCTTTGTCCATATAAACTGAAATTATGGAACTCATAATTTTTTCCTTTGATTTATTATTTTTGTTAACAAACCAGCAGGTTTTCACTTACTCTTCAACAGGTACCTAAACACTAACCCTGTCCATTGGCAGATATCCAAGCAGTCAATATTAATCTTTATGCTATGCCAGTAACTATCCTTTCTCATTTTGATGTTCTTATGAAAGTTTTCTATTTTAAACATTATTTAGACTTGTGGCAGAGCAAAATTTACAAGTTTTTTTTCCATAATATGTTCTGCCATTTTGCTACTGTTTCTTCATGATGTCACCTCCTTCAACCAGGCTACTCATCTAGAACACTTCTGACAGTCTGACCTCACATTCATTGTTAGAAATGTCTACAAAATAATCCTTTTTCAAAGAAAAGTATTACTTTTGTTGGATTTGAAGTGGGATTGGAGACAATGTAAACAAGATCCAAGAGTGACTGCCGGAGATTGGTGATGACTTCTCAGAGGTAACCTTATGCACAATTCTAGTTTGACTATCTGAAGTATTTGTTATGCCATCAGTACTCTTGTCATAACAATACAAGACCAAAATATTGATATATAGAACTTCAACTTATGTAATGATCATCTCAAACGCTTCAAGCTGTTTCTGGCAACAGCTTCATTAAGAATGAACCACATTTTCCATCCAGTTATCTAAACTGGCAATGGGTAAAATGCTTTCTGATAACAGCATCTTCAAAACGGTGGACAGTTTGAAGAAGTGAATTTATCAAATGATGCAGAAAGAATGGAAAAATTCCCTTCCTTCTCCTTCCCTTTCAGCACAATTTCAGGTTGTAATCAGTGTTTCTCGTTTGCTGCTCTTCCTGAACAGCTCTATATTGATACATTCCCCCTGGTGTTTTTAAAATTTCTCAGTTTGTTACCTGACACACCTGACCCTCTGAAGATTAAGAGCTAATTAAATGCTAGAAAGCTCCTAGAGATTTTGTGCAGTCAGAGAACTTAGGCTTATCTAGGAGAAGGAACACACCATGACATTTGAGTTTTCTGGCCAAGACCTGAAATCCCAGAGTTACTGTCCCTTTGGCAGTAAATGGCAGAGCTGTTTCAGAGACAAAGTCCAATGGAAACAGAGGATTCGACTGCAAGGTCATCTGCAAAAGCAGAGTTCCCAAAAAAAACCCGCTGATCACAAAACATTGCAGCAGTCCCAAGTGTCAGCAACACATCATGGTCTGCAACATATCATGGAGATCAGTTAAGAAGCACAAGACACCAATACATTAGATGACTTCACATTTCTCTGATAAATGGGTTGTTTAAACCTTGAGAAAACTATGACATTTTCACAAAGCGTTTCTGTTACATTGAACTGGAATTTGCTAACAGAAAGGGAAAAGGCTATTTTAGGAACTTCGTATACCTAATACATAATGAATGGTATTTACTACTACAGCAAATTTCAGTTTCTTGCCATTTTATTACCTATTACAGCTAGGCACCAAGGGTTTGGTTTTCAATGTTTTAGGGTTTATAAAGGAGAAAGAAAAAATAAAAGCAAACTAGAAATTATTAATTCTAGGAAAGGGGACAGACAGAGATCATCAACATATGCACAGATTCAGTCATCTGAATAAGCATCACAGCAGTATTGTTGCTGCTACCAGAAAGTAAACTTCATGTAAGATTTGTGTTACTGTTTATAATTGAATATTGCAACTGCATAGTTTTTTATCAGATATTTTTTCCTTCTCTCTTATCTTGAAAATGGTAACAACCCAATCTAATTTAATTTTTCCATATTTGCAAATTTTATAAGAGACTGAAATCCTAAGGGGTTCCACAACAGATGGATGACTGTGTTATTCTAATTACAACTAGGTACAGGTTTACAAGGCTGTCATTTTTTTAAGATAATCAAATTCTAATTTCAGGAAACATGATAAACGCTGAATATCTATGTGCTGTACTGAATCCACTTTCATGAAAAATGTGACTTCTCTTCATTGAAATGAAACAACTATTAGAAACCATCTTTCAGTTCCTCAGACCCAAATTTATTTTGTTACCTTCTAACAACTCATTAGCTTTACCTCATACCAAAAAAGTCTCTACTGTAACTAGTTTCAGGATTTAGGTTAGATGGCTCTCACAGGAGGATATGAAATACTGTGAAATAACATGGCATTCAATAATTGTCCTTGAAGCAATTGCAATGCTTCACAAAAACTACCAGAAAACCTTGGGAAATGTATAGAAATCTGGCCTATCATTATTAAATCAGTGGAAATCTAATTTTAAACAAATAGGGTCTGATAAAGATTTGAGTGTGTTTCGTTGTCCCTTTGGTACAAACATAGGAAGCATGATGCATCCGGGGTTCTCAATGCACATCACCCTCCCTTCATAGGAAGGCCATACTATTTATTTTATGATGTAAAAAAGAACCCAAAATGAACATAATTTTAGCTATATGTCCCATTCCTAAAATCATGTCCTTTTACTGTTTCAGAGTAGAATTAGAATATGATCACAGATTCAGTTTTAGAGCTAGACTTTTGTTTCATGTCAATTAGCATGAAGTTATTGGCCTAAACTAACTTCCCTGGTTAACCCTTATGGCTACACCTGTCTGGAAAAGGTGCTATGAAGACTTAATAACTGTTTTCATATATAAGTTAAAATAAACCTTTGATGATAAATGGTGTTTACCTGAACAACAACACTCTTTTCTGGGCTAGAGAACTCTTCACAAAAGAAGTCTGTGATAATGCTGTTGCTGACAGGGAAAGAACTCAACAGGGCATCACCAGCCCTCTGTCTACCTCTTACCACCAGATTACTGACTACTTTTGAGAAGACTTCTTATTCTCCCATTTCCAAGCTTTTATTCATTAAAGCACGTGGAATATCAAAAGCATTTGCACATAAAAACTCTTTCTTAGACAACCCATTAACTGTTGGAACCTTTATTTGATAACCGAACAGGCAAACTTTTCCAGAATTAATGCCTAGTAGTGTCTGTATAAGACCCAAAAACCCCCTCATACAGAAAATACAAAAATAAATATTAGATAGAGTTGGTTTATCATTAAAAGAAAATCTTTAAGGCTCAAGAAAATCAAGTACGAGGTTTTCACTATGTTATCTTTGGTTTTGTATCTACTCTTTTGGATTTTTCATTCTAGATAATTAATTGAACCTGCAATTATCTAGGGATTTTCAAACTTTGTTTTCTTCGAAGCTGACATTAAATTTTAGATAAATAATGCAGTGGATGCCACCTCTGTCTAATCAGTGGTTCGTGGTGAAATCAATTAAATAGAAGATCTAAGTTGAACCTTGCTGAATGTATTTTAAATCCCAGCTTTGACCAGAAGATTGAGATGAGTGGTTTAAAAGTAAGGTACTTGATGAGTAAGGGAATGGAGTAAGGCCTACTCCTTCTCTTTGGAGGTATTTCACATTAGATGGAAGCATAATTAAGGAAGAGCAGGCTTGCTGTTTTTGCTGGGCAAGGCATCCATTCAGAGTCAGATTTTTCTTCTTCATCTAGTTAGTTTTTACATGTTTAGCTTTTAAAGGAACAACCAAAATTATTATCTGAATTAGGAAGTCTCAGAAATATGTAATTAGCAAGCCTTTTGAGTCAATGGAATTGCTTTATTGTTCATTATGCCTCATGAGAAATTGAAAAGTAAGACAAGACAAATACCTTGTCCTCGACAAAGATATCAGTGTCTTTTAAGAAAAAATAAAATTGTGATCGAAATAACTGTCTCATCAACAACTGTCTTCATAAAGCAAAGAGACAGATTCTCAAATGAAATTAAGGGTATCCTGTTAGCAAGTTTTTGGAAGGTAAAGGCCACTAAATATAAAGAAAGACAGCTTCTAAAATTTCTAAAGGGGTTTTATGCTTTGAAACTTCAAAGGCAGGCCCCAAGTCTCCAAGGATACTATATCTGCATACTATGGATAGGAGAGTAAAATATCAGTATAAACAAGAGACACTCCCCAAAGCAGTTGACTCTCCACAGTTAGTAACAGAATGTACTCTAAATGGCTGAACTACAACCTGAGAGAAGAGTCACAGACAAACAGTGAAGAATGAAAGTGCATCTTCCAGCAGATATTAACATTGGTTCTAAATCTTCTAATTTTACCAGTGCTTCAAAGTATTAAAACACATTAATTTACACTCAGAATAAATCAATGTTATCATTCATCCTTTATTGCTGGCTGTAAGCACAACATCTGTACAAAACTAACACTCAGGTCACTCTGGCAACAATAACAGTTCTTTAATACATATCCCTTAATACAATATAAAGTGCATACCTTTGTGGGGCTTTCAAAGGTGAGCCAGATTGCTTACACCATTTTAAATATTTATGCCACCAGCTTTGCAAATCATTTATAATAGGTGTCAACAAATACTCTGAATCTCATCCTCACCTGCTCTGCATCTTCCTCTTTCCATTTTACACACAGAAACGTGAAAGCCCATCACTAATAATTATCTGTTCTGTTCACTCAAGCACATAATTTTCTTCTCCAAAGTGAGGTATTTCCCAACAGTGAAGTAGAGAATTTTTGAGCTGTTAAAGACCATTTTAAACAACCCCCAAAATGATACAGATATATTTAGAAGAAAGGCAATTTAAATATGAAGAAGCTGCATGGCAATAAATTATTAGGAGACTGACCTTTATAGCTTCCCATGCTGAAATAACAATCTGTTTTGCTTTCAGAAAGATGTGACACGAACTTTTCAATTAATTCTGCCAAAACTGCAAGAAGTAAAAACTCATTAAAAATTAGAGGCAACAAACAAAATATGGAACTACATCACCTAACTAAATGACAATGTATGGGAAAGTAAAGCTATTTAAATTCCTGCATATTTATTCATATTTTTATGGGGAAACAACTCAAAACATGCATTGCACTTTTACATTCCTAACACCATTCCTAACTTAAATTAAATTTTAATAGCTTTACTGAAAATATATTCAGTGTAAACAGAAAGAGAATCTCATATTATCTTAATATCCTCCACGGATTACTTCAGAATTTGTTACATGGTTTCAATATGAAATGAAAATTAACTATAATTAAACTATAATATCTCACCACATTTGTCTGTGTATAGAGACAGGAAAGGAAAACAATAAAATGAACAAACCACAAAACCAACCAACCAACCAACCAAATACCCCAAATAAACTCAACAACCCACACAGAACAAAAAGCTGACACCATCCCAAAATTATGCTAACAAAAGCACATGAAGTTCAAGGGCTGTTTCCAACAAACATCAATATAAAACTACCTATGCCATCACAAGATAAAAATTATTCACTTAAATTTATGCAATAGGAGTATTTAATTTTGGAAATTCTGCATTTAATGATGACCATAATGTTCTTTTTCAGTTCTTGCTAAGGAACTTTGTGTGTGGGGGCACTGCACAGCTAAGCCCGATGCTGATACCTGTTCTCTATGGAGGCAATCTTATCTCGCAACTTGACAGGATGTTAGCCAGGAAGTTAGCAACACCTATCATTGACAAATCATTATCCAAACTGTCCCTGATGCCTCAATTCCCCAAGTCTGAGGCTATGGCAAGTGAACACAACACCATACAAGTTTAAACAAATGTTACAAGGAAGCCTTTACACAAACTGTACAGAGGAGGCCTGCATGAGGAAGCCATATTAGGAATTTAGGATAGGAACAATGAACTTCTTTTAGAAGTAAATGCTATCCTAAAACACCTGCTTTTGGCTCCATAAAGAGGATAAAAAGCATACAGATATGCTACTGATACTTCTCACAAGAATGCAAAGCAAGGGAGTCTATTTAGAGAGTAACAACTGCTGCCACCTGTGGGATTTCCTGTTTAAAGACCATGTTACCATTTCCCTCCCAGCACTTCCAGCTAATAGCAATATAGCTTCAGCTCCTGTTCCCCCATTCTTGCACATAACTCCAGGCACCCACTGCCCAGGTGGGTTTTCTGCTTTTGAACTGAATAGTTCAAAGAACCATAGAATGGCAGGGGTTGGAAGGGACCATAAGGAACAGCCAGTACCACTGGTACCAGTATTACTACACTGTTTAAGCAGACAGCGGTAGGAGCAGCCGCAGCAGCACAAATGAGGCAGAGCAGGTGGAGGGGGCAACAGAGAAAGACAGAAACCTCCTGAGCAAGCCACGATGACAGGAAAAGTGACACAAGCAGTTAAAGAGCAGTGCATGCTCTTTTGGGAATGGGGAGGAGGAGAAAGACAGAATTTCCATCCACACTCTGATGCTTGTTATGCCAGAAAAACAATTCGAAAAAAGATATAATAAAGGTAATTAATTCTTCTTCCAATTATTTTAAGCTAACATACTGACATTAAATCACAATCTTTTTTGTCTTGATTAATTCCCTAAAATATTTACAGAAATTATACTGAATGAGTCCAAAAAAAAGTTTTTAAAAGGCTATGTTTTGGTAATGCTAAAGAAGTTTCACTACAACAACTAAACATGAATTTACAGTTAGAGTTCTAACTCCAATGGTAACAAAATTAATTTTGCATTGCAAAGGACTACTAAATTAAAACTAAAAACCTACATGTGTAATTTATATTCTTATGCACTTTTACAGTGAAATGAAACTGCTAATTAAACATAACATAGCTACTTTTAATCACGGTTAATAAAACACATGGGGCTAAAAAAAGCAATTTACTTTACAGAAGAGTAACAATTTATTCTTTTTTGAAGAATATATAAACTCACTAATCCTCACTAATATGCTTAGTGGAATTTGGCTCACAAACAATATAACAAGTATTTGTGTAAAATGAGCAAACATGTCTATTTCTGCAACTGCAGACAGCCAAAAGCAGAAATTACACTTTAAGTTTGTAATTAGCTATATATTTACTGTATGATTATTTGTACAGTGATTACTGAAATATGCCATACTATAATAATAAATGAGAACTACGTTAAGACTAAAATATCCCATAATTCAGGAAATTTAAAACCAAGTTGGCACATTGTACATTTTTTCTTTTTGTCCTAAGGCAACCACATGCTTGACCTAGCAGGTGAATACTTCAATTCAGTGCTTGAGTTAACAGAAGTGAGAGTTCAATGGTTAAGTAATATTTTGAAATTCAAGCACTAAATTCATTCCCACCATTTGAAAGTATTTATCTAAGTGCCTATCAGGATCTTTGAAAATATTTTCATCAAGTTTGAGAGACGAAGACACACAAGAACGTGTCTCAAAACACAAGTGGTTAATACTTAAATAAATGGTTTTCACAGGACACGGCCTTTTCCAAAGGAATGTCCATGTGAAATGACAAGTAGCTATTTTAATTTTTTTCTTTTAATAGTATATCATTTAGCTACCATTTGGACATCACTGTAGAAACTGGTTCAGTGATTCTTCATTTAACTGGAAAAATTAGAAAAAAGACATTTAGGCAGGTTCATTGTACATTGTGCTCCTTTATAATACAGTCAGTATTGCTGTAAAAGTCGAAATTTTCAGGTAAAGTTTATGTGGTCTACCAACACAGTGAAAATGTTGATTTTCTTAAATTATGGTAGCTTGGCTGTGTTATTATTGAAGTTTTTAAGATTCTAGAAATAATCTCATGGAAATTTAATTCTTACACAAAAAATAAACATAATTTTAATTTTGGTGTGTGCCATCATATACAAAATAAAGAGAAATACTTTTAAATTTCTTAAATTACTGCAGTATGCTTATAAAATGCCTACTTTCCTCCAGGATTTTATTCTTCCTTGAAGAAGTAGTGTACAATCATGTTCTATGATCCAGATGTTTCAATGGAGTTTAAAAGAAAATACAAAGGATTTTTTTAACAGCAGTTCTCAGGAACAAGGTGTGACTCTTGGGGATGGTCCTGTGCAGGGCCAGGGGTTGGACTCAATTATCCTTGACAGTCTCTTCCAACTCTGCTGAGTGGAAGGGATTCTGTGGTTTTGTGACTTCTGTTAGAGGCTAGAAATTCAAGAGTGAATATGTTGGACAGATTACTTTTTGCAAGAGTAGTGTCAGAATTTTCAAGTCCATCAACCATACTTCAGTTTAATAAGTATATGACAAACAGAGTTAGCAATTCCATTACTGATGGTAAGAACAAGGAGGACTTTCAATTATTGTACATTAAAATGACAAATGAACAACCTACATTTTCTCTGAAAAGAAGAAAACAAGATAATAAAAATTCTGACAGTGCTTCCATTAGAGATGAACACTGCATACGTTATACAAATATACAAGTATTTTCTTTATTAATGGAAAAAAACAGCCCTTCGAACCAAACCAAATCTTTACACACCTGCACAGACATTCATGTGCACTCACTTGCCACTGCTTACAGTGGCTCAAACTGATTTGGGGGTCAGAAGAAAGAATTTGTGATCTGCGATTGTTTTTTCTGCATAACATAAAGACCCACTGTTTCACTCAAATTCTAACAAGCTTCCTTGGAAAATCAAGGACATAAAAATAAAAAACACAAACATCTAATTTGTATTATTCTAAAAACTTCTTTTGAAAACACAATATCAGCATTTTGTTATCCTGAACTAAAACCACTACAACAGCATACAACAGTTATGGATTCTTTATCCTATGGGAAAAGTCCTGCAGTTAGTTGCAACTTTTTGTTGCAATTGCTAAAGACTGCAGCACACATACATCACAAACAATAACACAGCCTCAAAGGCTCACTGTATTTTTTGTCAACCTGTTTTGATAGAGCTATCTCAGATGATGCAGAGCTCACAAAATATTAAAGGATTCCAGAACACTGTGTTTACTGTAACCACTCTGCTTCCATCAAACATTTCATTTATAAAAGCTGGAGAAAATTCCTGTTTTACAGTGAGTTCTCACATGCAAGTTCAAGAGCTGCTGTATTTTCTTTTCTTGGTTGGTTGGTTTTTATTAAGAAAAAACAATTTGGAGGTAAATAATTAGGTCCTAAAGAATATTGGAGATCTAAATCCAGATCCTCAGGGAGATAGGTGATGGAAAATCTGAAAGACTCTATGGAGCAAGTAATTTTAGCCGAGTTTACTATCCCTACCCACATCACATATGAATATAAAGCTTGAGAAGAATAGGATTTGGGGACAGAATATCTTATTATGAAGGGAAAAATGTTAGCATATAATTGATATAATCTCTGCAACACCCTTAATTTATTTTGCTTTGGGTTTAAAGTCTCCTAAAAGGGGAGTGAAATAAGCATGTTGAATCTGCCCAGAAGTCAGAGGCTGATACAATGTTAACTGGGAACAGATGAAAAAAGAAGTTTCTGGAATAGAAAACAACATTCTGCCATATCTGAAGGACAAAAAAAGAGGAGATAATTGAAAAAGGCATGGCTGAAATAGTCAAGATGAGATTCTGGTTCAAGAGAAAAAAAAAACCAAAACCACAAGCCACCTCTCAGTCATGTGAACTATTTGAACATGCATTATGCTAAGCCTAGATTCATACAGAATAACAACTTTCTACATAAACCTAAGGTTTTATTCAGAGGAGTTGATTGGCCTGCTGCTTTTTCTGCCAAAGCTTAGATGCAAATACACAGAAAGTTCTTTTCTAGATGTACTAAAGACACTTGAGGGAGGCCACAAATATTGTAATGAGTAGTCCAAAAGAAGCCAAGACATAACCTGGCCAAAGGCTCTCCCCATGGTTCTCTTGCTGGTAAGTGACCCAAAGAAAACAAGGAGCTATACACCCTAACACACACAGATCTGTGGCACCTTAATGGAAGGAATGACTGGAAGAATGTCTTTGTCATCTGCTTATTGTGCTTAGAACACCAGACTGTAGGAGCTGATTGTCTACAATGTTTTGTGTTAGGAGACCAAGAAAATTCCCACACTTTCAGTCCTGATGTATTAAAAGATATGCAAGCCTGGGAAGGTTTGTATCTCCTTTCAGCAGTTCAATAAAGCCTTTCAAAAAACAGATTTAGATGTTTGAGAACAGAAATTACTTAAAAGCTACAGTCAGAGGTCATGCTTTAGCAGAGAAAACACCAGTCTAAGGCCATCTCAAAAGCAATGCATTACCAGAGCATTTAGCAAAAAAGTATTGACCAAGTTGATGGGAGAGTAATCAACATGGGAAGGGTGAATTGCAGATATTGATACTGTACAGTTTGCTCAAGAATTTTTTGATGGATTTCAAGCAAGTTCTATAGATTCAGCATCCGGTAATCCTTACACCAGATCACAGAATATTTTTAACAAATCAATACACATTACTCCATACAGTCCTTGAGTCTAATGTTATCTTCTCCCATTACATTCTGGTTTAACACCTGTTAATGTCAGTCCCCCTTAGAATGGGCCCAGTAAAGAAAGCACAAGTGTACATCTTTGTCTGTAAACCATGGAGATTGCTCCATATGTAACTATAGAGAAAATTTTGATTTCTGGGCATCTGGACTAAAGTCTCTCACTCCTCTGAAATTTGGGAGAGCTTTTCAAGCTGCAAAAGATACACAGCAGTACAGCTGTCTCTTGTAAAGTGGATTCAGCGAACATGATGTTGTCTCAAACCACAAAGCTGCAGATATTTTGCTGCTTCTGAAATATCTCCAAGCAGATACAGAACATCTGAAGAGATTTGCAACAGCCAGTTGTATTAACTGCTTATCTAAATAACATAAAGGGAAACCTTGGGCACCTGTAAACAAGTGACCATAATCAGAATTCCTATAGGAATAGAAGCCTGAAATTTCTGAGAACACTTCACTTCTTTATGGCTACACAAGCTTATATATCACAAGGGAATTATTATGTCTTACTTCAGATGATTTATGTCATATCGATGATCTGTGTTTTTGCTTTGGCTTTTTACTGAGCTATAGCACTTCATGATCATACTGTTCATTAGAAATGCATATGAAAATTAAGAAAAACCTGAAGGAATGAATTCTTTCATGTTTAGTATGGTTTAATTCTGATTTTTTTTTGCAGAAATTGCCCATTAATATAATTTCCCAATCCATGTTAACTCATTCACTAGTCTCTGAGAAAAGTCTGTTTTCTTTCAGGCTTTCATTTTCATTTTCTCAGTATCTCAATAATGGACTCTTTAAAGATCTGGAACAAAGACTTGTATTTGAACCCTCTTTCTCTGTCAAGTTTCACTGACAACATAGAGGGATAATAGTCGTAAAGTGAAAAATAGGACATAAAATGCATAAAACCTTGCTTTCTTGGGAAAATACCATTGAAATAATTTTCTTAATCAACACAGAATTATGGACTACTTGTATAGATAATGTACTCCTCAATGAAAATAATTAGTTGCTTAATACTGGTCTTTTGTCTGCTTTCTTTGTTAAACTTCTTAAGTCATACTCACTTGGTCCACTGATGCTATCTGGTCTGGTTTTCATGACTTTGCAGAACTGTTTTCTACAAATTTCTGCCCACCCAGTTGGCTTGTCTGGACTTCTTAAGAGTTTTAAGAGCTTGTCAAGATCTTTATCTAGAAGAAATGAAAAATTAGTGTTATTCTATAATGATCATACACTGACAGAATAGTTTGAGTTGAAAGGGACCTCAAAGATCATGTAGCCCCAACTCCATTGCCACATGTATTTCAGACCTCTTAAGAAAAGACTACATAAATATGCCTTTTCCTAAGACAATTAAACCAGAGAAGCAGTCCTAAAACTGATGACATTCTGCTTTATACAAAACATTCTATTTACTGATAGGATTTTGTGCTTATTTTGGCTGGGCTAGAATTAATTTTCTTCAGACGGCTGGTATGGGGCTATGCTTTGGATTTGTGCTGCAGATAATCTAGACGTGATAATCTAGAGATGTTCTAGAGATCTGTGTCAGCAGAGCAGAGCTTATACAGATTTGGCCTTTTCTGCTTTCCTACTGCTACCCCAGCAAGGAGGCTGGGGGTGCATGGGAAACTGGGAGGAGACAAAGCTGGGACAGGGGACCCAAACTGACCAAAGAGGTATTGTATACCATATGACATGGTCAGTATATAAAGTCGGGGGAAGACAAAGGAAGGGGAGGAACATTCTGAGTGATGCTGACATGGTTGGTGACATGGTGGTGTTCAAAGGCAGTACTCAATGATATCTGAGGTCTTTTCAAACCTAATTATTTCTGTGATTGCATTTGTCTCCCTAAGTAACCATTACAGGTGATGGGGTCCTGCTTTCCTGCAGATGGCTGAACACCTGCCTGCCACCTGGATGCAGTGAATTAATTTTGCTTTGCCTGTGTGCATGGCTTTTGCTTTTCTATTATACAATCACAGAATAAGCCAAGTTGGAAGGGACCCATCAGAATCATCGAGTTCAACTCCTGGCCCTATTCAGGGCACCCCAAAAGTCACACTGTGTGCCTGAGAGTGTTGTCCAAACACTTCTTGAACTCATAAAGGCTTGTTGCTGTGACCAATGCCTCGAGAAGCCCGTACCAGTACCCAACCACCCTCTGGATGAATAGCATTTTCCTGATGTCTACTCTAAACCTCCCCTGACTGAGCATCATACCATTTCCTCAAATCCTGTTATTGATCACAAGTGTGAAAAGATCAGTGCCTGCCCCTCCCCTTCAACTTGTAAGGATTTTGAGGACCACAGTGAGGTCTCCTCCAGGCTGAACAGACCAAATGACCTCAACCACTCCATTTAAAGCTCCCCCCTTCAGACATCCACCATCCTTGCTGCCCTCTTCTGGGCACTCTCTTATGGCTTAATGTTTTTTTATGTTGTGGTGCCCAAAACTGCCCCCAGCACAGGACAATTCCCTCTTTGCCCAGCTGACAATGCTGTGCCTGATGCCCCCCAGGACACAGTTCGCTCTCTTGGCTGCCAGGGCACTTGGCAACTACCAGGTAACTTGGCTCCCAGAGTCCTTGATGCTGCTATAAAATACTTTCTGGTCATCTGGAGGAGAAAAATAAAGATGGTACCTGACACAAAGCATATGCACATGCATTCACTCCAGCTGTGTACAATCCCTCTGCTGTTAGACCATTAATATTACTCATTTTTCATGTTTGTAAATACTTTGCTTGTTAAATAAAGTTTTTTCCATTTTTCTTGGAGGAATTTTTTTCTCCCAAACTGGTGGGAGGAGGGGCCGCTTGAATCTGCTTTCTAGAGGAACCTCTCCAGAGATTTCCTCCCTAAATTTGCCCTAAACCAGGTCAAGTGTCAATTGTTTGAGCCAGTCTATGGATAGGAAAAATATTTGCTGGTACTTTTACTTCTTTATACCATTTCTATTTCAAAACATTCTTTCCAAATGATCTTATTCTTTTTAGATTATTATAATATTTTCAACAGAATTATGATTTTGCATGTAATTTATTTTAAGCTCATCTAAAAACCTTAATGATTTCTCATTAGTAGATTGTATCGCTGTCATTGGAATTTATTATACAATACATAACATTTCAAAACAATCTTATTATAATAACTTGATTATTATCATTAATAATGCCTTCAAATTAATTAACCTGAAATTTCTTTGTTATTCTCAAATAAATAAGTCCTCAGTATCTTCCCAAATAACACACAGTGATGCTTAGAACAGCTTACTTATGAAAATTTAATGTGAAGAAGGATTTAACTCTTACAGTATTATCAGTATGATTTCTAGTTCTTTCTCTGCCCCTTTTTGTTATTTCTGAAACAGTTGAGCATTGAAGAAAATCCTAGAGCTGCAAAGAAACACTCCTTGATACAAGTTAAATAGTTATTTTACTTCCTCAAGGATTGTAGTAATTCAGATTGGCAGACAAGAATCAGGGACTACAAGCTGAGACTTAATCAGTCAATGTACCAGAGATCCATGCAACCAAGATACTGTGGTGCAGTCATGTATTTAATATATCCAGTACAAACTGAAACTGGTATCATACTGTGCAAACTCACTGCAGCTTATTTTCTTCCAGGTAAACCATTGCTTCCCTTAACTTGTCATTAAATGTGGAGTATCACTTCTGCCAGCAGGTCATCATAGTACAAAAAAAAAAAAGACAGAACCTTTTGGGGGGTTTTGGAATGACAATTGCTTCCAAACACTCACGATATCTAAAAAACACCAGCTTGCTTTCACAATTTTGTAGGCAACTACAACTTGCCCAACAGTATTACCCTGTAGCTGAAACTTAAGCAACAACATAGTTCTGGGCTATGTATATTATGTGTTACTGAGGGCAGGCTGTCACACTACCACTACCGCTAGAGGTGTTCCAAACCCACCAACACCGAGAAACAGATGTCCTGCTTTTATTTCTTCTCTTTTCTGGTTTGTCACTAAATGAGTTCACAAGTTATTCTAAATCAATTACTTGAATTTGATTTTTTTCCTGAAAAAATACTAGACCTTCTGAATGACGTGAAGGATACAAGGTGAGGGAATAGGGGAAGGAGAAAAAAAATAGAAAGAAGAGAAAATATGAGGAAGAAAATGACTAAGACCTTCCTCAGTAGAGGTCTACTGAGGAAGGTCTTGGTCATTTAAAAGCTAGCAAGCTTTTAAATATGGACATGATTGAAAAGAAGCTTTCATTGAAAAAAGCAATTTAACTAATCTGCTGCACTTCTGCTCTCTTCTTCATATGTGACTATATTTTGCCATCCCATCCATTACTTGTACTTACCTTGTGCTAGCATTGGTTGCTCTGTGTAATCTCATGAAAAACAAAAAAACCAAAACTCCTACATTCACTAGTATACGAAGCTATGAAATTGCACTATAAATAAGTTACACTTCCACGCATGTATGAAATCTGAACCACTGCATCATAACAACAAGTTTAAATTGATCTCCCTTTTCTAAAACATGCTGCTTTATACTTCTTCAAATAATTCTTCAGCTAGCTTGTTTAGATCTTCTAAAGCAAGTAAGACACAGAAAAATTCATCAATGTTTTATAAAACATAAGAAATGCAACAAGCGCCTTCTCATCTGACTGTGCTTTGTGGCAGACGTGTTCTTCTGTGATTAATAACTAAGATCTGTAAATCCATCCATATCTTATTCAAAACCTAAACTGAGAGATTAATAACCTGACTACAATTTATTGGCTAGTACATAGAAACAAATCTATATAGAGATATATAATTAAGGAAAGCTCATGTGCATTTCTCATAGACCTTACTACTCTTTCACCTTTTTTAATTGAGTGGACTTAAAAGCAAAAGGCAACAGACTTGTACATGAATATCACAGCAAATATAAAAAGGAGTACAAGTCAAAGAAGTGTAGGTGATAAACGCATTTATGTGACATTATAAGGAATAATAGAAAAGACAATACAGCTGGTTCTTTGACAGAGAAAATTTAAAAAAAACTTAAACACTGCTAATACCAGGTATTTAAAAAAAGAATTAAATCAGATTAAAAAAACAAAACCAAACAAAACAAACAAGCAAACAAAAAACAAGAAACCCTCGATGAAATTAAACTGTAAACATGGCAGCATGTTCCCATTCAAGTTAGAAGTTTAAAGCAAAGAACTCAGATAACAGTGGCTGAGATAAATTGGCAAAATTCTTTTGATAACAAATAACCACATTTTTGCTACCAATTCTGGAATGTATGATTTCAGAAGAAAATAAGATTAATGAATGCTGGAATACCCAAGTTTAGGGAAATGTCAAGCAGTGAATGCATCACTGCAGGACATTTACAGAAAATATTCTTCAGCCACAATCATTACCAACTGTCATAACTGCAGAGCTAGGAGTAGAAAAGAAAAGCATATTCTGTACAAATAGAAGAGTGAATATTACAGTTTAATAGCCTTGTAAAGAGTTTAACTTTTAATAATCGACACTATAGTTACTATTACAAGTTTAAAAAAAATCTTTACAAAGTTGTTTCCTGAATATAAATATCACTCTTTGAAAATTACTTAATAGTTCTTCCTCAAATTACCTTAATAAAATAATAATTGAACAAATAAACAAGAAAAGCAACAGGGTTTCTTGCTGTAGTGTAAACAAGTAGAAATGGCATAATTAATTTTCACATATAAATAATGATCCACATAAATCATTTGAAGTTTCACTATAAGTTGTCTTTGACAGAAGTGAATCATTAGCATATGGCTATCCAGTAGTTTTCAAACTCTAACTACTGGCTGAAATTATTAGAGCATATTAATATACAATCAACCAAATTTATTTTTCCATAAATCCTTTCCTGCAGACTCATATACCACACAAACAAATACCTAGCACCTGTAAAGCCAGGACTGATATTTGTAAACATTGACGCACTGCAAGTTTTCCTCAAATACAAACACATTTTTGGAGCGAGTCTGCTTACTCAAAGTGTCCTCAAAAAGATACTCTACTACATCAGTGCAGTTACTAAATTACAAGAGACCTTTTTATTCAGTGAGTCAAAATGTGCTCTTGCCAGGGTCTGTGATCACTATAATAGCACAGAACAGAATAAAAGCAAGAGTGTTAAAAGAAGAGCTCTGTTACATACAACCTTCAGGCCTTTGTGCTAGAAAACAGGTTCCATACAATGCCAGATTTACCATTGCTCTGCTTTTTATTACAGCTGAACTGTAAGGTGTCAGTCTTGCACATTTAGCACTGTTCTTCAAAAGAATTTATAGAATAAAGCCCCTACCCACTTCTTGGGTTTTCATGCTGGAAATCTCAGTGTGAACAAGTCCTTTTAATTAAACACCACTCATAAGGTACTTTCAGTTTTATCCATGGTTTCCATTATACCAGATACAGGATAAAAGAAGTCCTGAGATCTGGAAATGAAGCTTCCTTTTCCCTGACCTCAGCTTGGCCACACTAGTTACAAAATATTCTGTTATAGCATCTGTCATTCAACTCCATCAGAAAGGAGGGTCATAAACAGAACTTTTAGCAGTACCATATTCAAGGCACATCTGTAAATCTTTTTATTTTTTTAATGCTCACAAGCCATCTCCATCTATTATATAAATATATTAAAGAAATCAACTCAGGTTATGTTTTTACATCTGCCATCACAATTATGTGATGTATATAGGATACATTTTCAAAGTACAAAGAAAAGGTGAAATCCTCTTGAGCAATAAAAGAGGACACAAATAAGAGATCAGGACAGACAGGATGACAGTTACAGCTTTTTCAGCCAAAGAAACTATACATTCTTTAACAGTACTAAGGATCTACCAGTCTTAATTATTCAGTCATAGAAACACCAAAATAAGGGCATCAGAATGATACCTCACAGGTTACATAATGAAACACTACAGCATGAAATCTGAACACAAGACAGGTTCAGGAAAGACATTGTGCTGGCCCTCAATCCTTGTCAACAGATACAATGAAGCAGTCATGCATTCCCACTCACACAATGGCTGCAGAACTCTTGCCAGTCAGAAGTCTATGTGAACCCTGAAGCAGAATGAAAATTCAACAAGTATTTTTCTAAACTCCAAGCAATCTGAGTAGCACACAACATGAATTCTGAATATTCACAGCAAAGTTGTAAGATCTTGTATAAATGTAACTCATGGATCCATCTTGTAATCGCATTTTTAAACTCTTTTGTGAAAGAAAACTTCTATTGCTGCCATATCATAGTGCTTAAAAATACAGTTCAGATATTCTCAATTTTCTATTCACGCTCTTCATTTCTTTTTTTGCAAGCACTACAATAGCAATTTATGAATTTCATTATTTTAATTTTTGATCTATTTATTCTAATGCTTTCTTTCAAAATAACTTGCACATCCTGAAAGCTTCGGTCTGCCAAATCCTATATTCACAATTGAGTGGCTTGTTGTTTTTTAACCTAGTACTGAAATGGAACACTTTCAATGCTTTATTTCCCTTTTATTTTCAAACAACAAACACAAAATATTTTGATGCCACTACCAAACATTCTGTTCATTTTGCAGTTATATAATCTTTTATTTCAGTTACCCTTAACATCAAAAATGCCATTCCAAATTAAAACATTTCTTTGATTTCAATTTTTCAAACTCATTTGAAAACCTTTGACACTTCATTTCAGAAAATTTACTTTTAATCAAAGTTTTACGCAAGCTTTCTTAGTTGGTTGTCATCCACAAATGTGATAACTGTAATATCTATTTCATTAGCCCACTAGGTAATGATGAGCAACAGAATTATTCTGAACAAGAGAACTGAGGGATCCTTTGAACACATTCTGAGAATAATAATAACAATACAATAGGCTTTTCCAACCCAAGAACAACACTGCTGCCTCCTGGAAGACACCCACTTCACCATTATCTGATTGTTGTCTTATGAAACTTGCCTTGGGAAGCCTGGAACAGTATTACAAAAGCTAAGATATACAGAAAACTCCCCTCTTTTATAACTATATGGCCTTTTCTCTGGTCAGAGCAGGAAATAACTTTTTAATTTTTTTCCCCCCCAGATATATACAAACAGACTATTTTATAGTCCACAGTTAATGTAAAATTTCTATCACTTCTGTAAATCTGTCTCTGCTAAGGAAATTCATAATTTCTAATAAGTTCATCTTGGGGATATAGTAAACATGGATAAATACAATGAATTATTTATTTACCAAACAATTCACCTGATTCTTTTGCATTGTCTTTTGCAAACTAAAACCTTTAAAGAGTTTCTCTGTGTGAATTAAACTGCTGTGCCTAGGTAGCTCTTCAAAGGATTCTTCAGTCTGCTCACATTCCAAATTGATGTTCAATGTGGAAACCAACTATCCTAAACGCTGTCTATTTCACACACCACCAAGCTCAGTAAACACAGGGATGTGGATCACGAAAATAGTGTACAAAGAACTCTGCAGTTTAAGCAAACTGTCTTGCTTCAGTTACTAGAGAGATGATATAAATGTACCTTATGAGTCACCCACCAGAAATGAGTCAGGAGGTTAATCTTGAAGTGTGCATAAGAATTAGATTACCAAATAGCTTTCCAGATTGACAGTTGCACAAAGCCAGACAAGCAAAACTAAACCAACTTATTTAGCTACAATTGCAGCCAGCATTGAAATAACCTTAAGTATTTCATGAGATTATGACCAGTGGGACATGAGCGTGGGGAGCAGGGTGCAGGGAGGAAGGAAAAAGAAATTTTTTAAATTGACTGCGATACTTGCATGAAATCTACGCTGCTCACATGCTTTCTACATACCTTGTCTGGATTCAGCTTTCCTAGGAATTTCTGCAAGATAGCACTTTGGCACAGGGAGCGATGAAAACATTGGCCAAGGATATAGACCGCTGTCCTAGAAACAGGACCAGAAATAAATTAACAGAAACATTAATAGCTTTTTCTTGATTAACAGAGGTACAGTTCCCAGAATTACAGCCTATGCACAAAAATTGTTTGATACTACAACTTCCAATGAGATGTGCTATCACCAAAAAAAAAAAGGATCGAAAACCCAAAAAGCTTTGAGAATATAATCTTTTATGGCATATATATCACTGACAGTTTTGATTTTACAGTTCCTTTTTTCAACCACAAAGGAAATTGCAAGTTTTATAAAAAATATAAAAAAGAAACCCCAACAACCTACTAAACTGTATTTCCAACTTTATATGTTGATTTAGGTGTCTTTGTTGTGCTGACAGTAATCTGCATTTCATCTTTATGAGACTGACAGCCAGCGAGAACTAGAACATTTTAAAAAGTTGCCTAACAAACACTCCTTTGTTAGAACATTAATGAAAGCTCTAGGTATTAGATACTGCATATAAGAACCCAAGAATGGAAAAAATATAAAATAATACAAAGATAAATGGAAAGCTAGTAAAGAAACCACAGAAATACAAAAGGAAAAAAACAAACAAATTCCGTTCGCTTAAAAAGTAACATTAAAATGGAGCAAAATAAAGATGTCATCTGAACATAGCATCTCCTAGGTATATGGCAATCCCCAGATAGTGGGAGCAATATATTTGCTCAGTGTATCACTTCTTTAAAATATTAACACTTCATAAAGTTAAAGGTGGTCTGGTGTTAAATAATGTTTCACATGCTTAATTATCAGCAAAAATGTTCAGTTAATGAAGGCAGAAGGTACAGAAAGAAACTGGTAAACTTAAAATTCTAACCTTATCTAATTCTCTCAAAGGCAAAATCCTTTCCTGTGGTCCTCCAATCAGATTTATTCTTACAAGAACATGGTTTCTCTCCACTGACAGACCATCAATTATAAAAACTCTGTGGAAAAAACCCCAAACAAAACACAACAAACCTTTAAAAATGACAAGCTTTGATTTATTGACTATTTAATTCAGAAAACTTAAAGAAGCAAGAATATTTTGAGAAACATACCAGAGTTAAAACACAGGCTGGAATACAAATAGGCATAAATAAACAGAAACATTAGGTATTTTGAGATGTCTCCAAGCATTGTTCTGTGTGCTTCCCTATCTACTACTGATTAGAAAAATTTGAGCAATTACTGGACCCAAAAGAGTAGAAAATTTCACAGATTTTCTTATGTCACATAAAATTAGGGCAGTGACAGTTAAGGGACCATAAAAATTTACTCCTTATTTTGCCTACCAGTATATTTCTGCTGTCACAAATAAGCAGAGTTGCTCACTACTTGAAACAGAGACAACTTGCTGTCTGAAATCACTGTGCAGTCCAAGGTACAAAATCTTTGAAAGCAGTAACATCCACGTTTTATTCACCAAGTTTCTTAATAAAAGCTTTTCCTTAGAAGGGAAATAGCAGCTTTCATGTTCAAATAGTAAATAACTATCATCTTCACCCAAACTGTTTGACTTACATTCTGTAATGGTCCCATATAACAAACACTAGGAGGAAAATACTCCAAACTCAGCATGCCATGAGAAAGGAAAAAACGTCAGTAACTAAATGACTGTCCGCTTCTGTCCCAAAAATACTTTTTTTCTTTTGAAAGGATGCACTATGCAATTTTATTTAGAAGACAGCAGTGGAAAGTCATAGAAGCTGGGGAGTTGACTAAGCTACAAATAAGCTGTTGGAGAGTTGACAAAGCTACAAACCAAACAATAACAACAAGAACAAAAATACTCCCTCATAAAAACCCCAAAGTATGATGCCTGTAATTCATGAACATTAAAATACCCTGATTTTATATTAAATATATAACATTAAAAATATATATAAAATTAGAAGGCATACTTACATTCACAAGTTTTAAACACTTTTTGTTTTAGAAACAACTTAAGAGTAATATAACTAAAAAGTAAAAAAAAATTGCTTTTTTATTTTTTATACTTTTGGGGTGAACATGGGAGAAAGAGAAGGCTATTATTCTTTTCATAATTTAAAACTGCTGACAAACCTGCATGTAAGGAAATTTACGGACATTAGAAGCCAGTTTAAGTGAAAGCATTTGTATGTTTAAAGCTACTAAGGTATTTATGTATTTGTTCTCAGGAGAAGAGTTTGATAGTTAAAATAACATTTACATCAATCACTTCTTACCCTGGTCCTTCTGAAGTTTCTGTGACATTTTCCTCCTGAGCAGTTAGTAAAACTTGAGACACTTTATACTGAGTCTCCAAGAGTAAAAGGGTATTGAGCTCACAGCACAGCACATTTAATAGCCTGCAGAAGGAGACATTGAAATGGTAGTACATCAGTCAGGACTCCAGTAATGCACAGAAAGACAAGGGTAAACATGTTTATGAGATCTTGCAATGGAAAGGGAGAAGAGGAAAAAACAGAAAAAAAATCCACTTGAAGTGCCTGAAAAAACCTCACATAAAACTAGGTCAGGAACACTTTAATATCCTTTTCAAGCACTCAAGTGGCACAACCTTAAGCAAACAGGCAATGGTTCCCAACAGTTGTTTTTTTTGTGTGCCCTGAACAACCCGAGAAAATACCCACTGGTCAGCTCAGCCGCTTTTGAGTTTACATCACAGTGTAACAAAAATGATACAGGCTTAGTAAGACATTCCATGTGAAATATAAGGAAATTATACAATAATAGGCTGGCAAAGCAACTCAAAATTAGGTTATCTGAAGGGGGAAGAAGGAAGGGAGGTAAAAAAAAATCTTTCATTTAGAAAAGAGCCTTTTAAGACCTTCTGTATAATCACATTTAACGCAGTTCAAAAGCAATAAAAGATTTAGCATGTAACATAACCAACAAATCTGCTGGGTTAGGTTTTTTCAGAGAAACACAAATGGTAAATGAAATGAATAATAACAAGTGCACAAGACAGTACATTATATACAATTTTCTTTCATAACTTTGGGGCAAATTAACAGGGTAAGTACTCCAATATATTTTTATACAAATCTGAAATAAAACAGTCCAAATCACATTACTTTTTGTTTTAACTAATCTAATCACTCTAAAACCACAACAGAATAATTTCATTGAGGGCTTCCAGTTCAAGGAAAACAATGTAACTAAACATTCTTGTTACTGGTTTTATTTCCTGTTTTAACACAGTCATAAAATGCAACGTAAATTAAGGCTGATCAGCATTATATTTTGCGTTCACATAAGATTTTACATGAACTAGAAAATATACTGTTTAAAATTCATAGTCTGTTAGTCAAAGCTTATTTTCTTCCATGGAATTCCTCATATGTTTCTACTGAGAAAAGCAAAAATTCATAAGCCATTCTCTCAATAATTTAACACCTGCAAATTTATACAGTTGTGGCCAAGGATTAAACAGCCAAGATGAGATTATGTCTCAGTTTTTTTTCTGTTGTTTTTTAAACAACTTGTTGTGTTCAGTTTCAGTACTCTTCAGCTTTATTTCTTTTACATTAACTATTTTGTGACATCAATTTGTTCTCAGTACTTTCTAAATCACAGAAGAAGAAATGACAGTTCAACTATAATTTTTATTATTATTTAGAAGAAAAAACCCAGAAAAGAGCTCTGAAACCATTATGAAGATGGATAATTTTTTTTCTGTGAAGTACAGTAAGTGGCAAAGACCAGCAGTTAAAAACCACTTGGGAGAAGACTAGTAGCTGAGAATGCTTTATAACATCATCTCCTCTGGTAGGCAAGACAGAGCAAAAAATAAAACAAGAGCAACCAACCATGAGCAAATAAAATTAGGTAGATGGAACAGTGGTAGAATAAACGATGAAATACACAAGATCTAGTCTATGCAGCTATTGCTTGGGCATTTAAATGAAATTTTCACCTACATAGAAAAAGACATTTAAAAATGCAATTATTGAAGTAGAGGTTATTTGGTTAATTGTGCTACTCCATTAATTACCTTCCAAAGTCATAAATGTATAAAGTTTCCAATAAAAAAAAAATAACCCACTTTTTATAGTAAGTACATTTGTAAACATGCTTGAATACAGCTATGGAGTTTTTTGTCTTTTTTGTTTTTCTCAGGAACATAAGAATTGGATCAGACTCCCCATCTCAATATCTCATCTATAAGAAGTACATGCTTATGAGAATATATAAAACCTTTACAGATATAACACAATATGATCAAGCATATATTTTTGAGATATGTTTTTAAATTTTCTTTAGAAAGACTCCCAACCTAAATACTGCTGAAAATTGGAAGATACACTTTGATGAAGTTCTTGTACCTGGGAAGAGCCCAATGCAACGGTACAGGCTGGGGACAATCAGTCATAAAGCAGCTCTGCAGTCAAGGACCTGGGGGTCCTGATGATCAATAGCTTGAACATGAGCCAGAAACATGCCCTTGAGGGCAATCACCATCCTGGGCTGTGTAATGAAGAGTGCTGACAAAAGTCACTGGAGGAAGTCGCCCCTCTACTGTTTCTGGTGAAGTCATATTTGGAGTGCTGGGTCTAGCTCTGAGCTCACCAGTCACAGCATGGCATGGATGCACTGGAGCAGGTCCAACAAAAGGCCAAGAGGACGATTAAGGCTTGGGCCATCTGACATAGGGAAAAGCTGAGAGAGCTATGACTGCTCAGCCCAGAGAACCCTCAGGGGAGATCCTGTCAATGTGTATAAATATCTAACAGGAAGGTGTGAAAATTGAGTCAGACTCTTCTCAGTGATACCCAGTGAAAAGACTAGATGCAAAGGACATGAATTGAAAGACAGGAAATTCCATTTTAATATACTGTGACGGTGGTAAAACAGTGGAACAAATTGCCCAAAGATGCTGCAGGATCACCAGCCTTGACAATACTATAAACCAGACTGGACACAGCCCTGAGTAATGCTCTATAGTTGAACTTACTTTGAGCAGAGCAGTTGTACTACACAATCTTTCATCTCCCTTTCAATTCTGATTATGTAATTCTGTGATCACTACTAGTAAGATATACCACACACCCAGGAACAAACTGCAATGCATATAAAATAAAAGTTTATCTGAAGGCAGTCCTTTATAGAAGAGCAGTTTCAAAGAAATTCAGAAATATCAAAATACATATCATAGTTGTGAAAATATGCTAGGAATAAGCAATTTTGTTCTGAATTCTGCATTTCCTCCCCTATCCATTTTTCTTGAAAAGTACTCCCTGGATTCTACCCCTTGAACTACAATTTCACAATTAATACTTCCCTGCAGAAATCCCTAATCTAAAAGAAAGCATTCTAACTACTATTTTGTTCCACGGGCTATCTCCTTAGTTTTGCTATGTGGAATCATATTGACTTCTTCAATTATGACACGACAAAAGCTCCTTTGTGGGGTATAAAACAGCTAGTAAACAAACTTTGCTAATTTTTATGCTGTCTCTCTACATTTTTTTGCCTGAAAATAATATAATAAACTGTCCATGATTTACTCTGAGTTGCTAAAAATGCATATTACGAGCATAGCTTATGACCACCTCAGTATTTTTTCTAGGAGTTCCTTTTAAGAACACAAAAGAGTATGTTCTTTGTTCTTTTTCCCAATATCAAACCACATTTCTCTCAAACAGGACCTTTATTATGTTTTTCTATTTTTCTGCAGTTCCCACAACACCACCATACACTATTCTTCCTTACTTTTACATGTTCTTTCCAAAGCCACTCTGATGTTCTGTCCTCACTTCAGGCACATCTGCTAATGCTCAGCTGGCAGTGAAAGATGTAAGATACTACTCTTGAAAACAGCAGCTGTAACAGTCTGTGGTGGGTTGACACCAGTCAGCAACTAAGCACCCACCCTGCTTCTCACTCCCTCACCACTCGTGCCTGGCCAGTCTCTGACTAATGGAGACTAACCTCCTTGACTAACCTCCAAGCCCCTCAGTGTGGGATGCTATGTGATATAAAACATTCCTCTGGTCAGCTCAGATCAGCTGTCCCAGCTGTTTTCATTCCCAACCTCTCACACATTCCTAGGTATGGCTAATGTTGATAAAAAAGAAAGCCCTGTTGCAGAGCTGCTGCTTGCACAGCATCAGTAGAAACATGCTGTGTTATCAATACTCTTTTAGTCCCAAATTCAAAACACAGCACCCATGTGGGGTGCTATTAAAAAATTTGACCCCAGTCTGTATGGACTCCAGAGAAACAAGATAAAATTTTATGCTATAAGCAGCATGAAATTTCCACCACATAAAAAAAAGCAAGCAGTTCATCCAAAGTCAACTATACTACAATCTCAGTAATATATGTGTGCATGCAGCATAAAATGGCCAACTAAACACAAAATGCTTACATCTCTGCTATAGACAGTGACATGATGCTGAAATAGAGGACTAAATTGGTCTTCAGTAAAAAGTTTTCTTTTGGCTTGTGGTTACATGCCTTCTACAGATATAGGCATGGCTGAATCAGGCCAGTGCAAAATACATAGCATGATATTTGTAGAGAGTTCAGCTGTGGGCCAAGGTAAGGTGCATTTTTGTCATCTCTCAGGAATAAATATTAAAAACTGAAGAGCAATAAAGCAAGAACTGGAACTTCTTTGCAGCAGCAGGACCTCCTTTTCACTAAATGGCTATGTACAACAAAGTGAAATCCAAAGCCAAACTTGCATTAAACAATTCCAGTGTCAACGTAATGGAGGACAGCCCATTTAACATCAGAGCTTACATTAATAATTTGATTTACTCCTTACTACACTTCGAGTAAGAGCCTAAGCTTCAATGAGAACATGGATCAATACAGTGAATGGCAATTATTATCAAGTACCAGAGCAGTAGACAGAGGCTATGGCTAAAAAACTCTACAGAAAGTCCAAAGCCACTCAGTCAGTGTTGGAACACAAAGGGCATTTGGAAGCTTCAGCCCAGCAAAGCTTTGCACACTGCCTTTGCAAACTGAACAAAAGGCATTAGAAATGAGCAGATAGAGGATGTCTCTGCACTTGGTCTAGCTAAAGGACTGAGGCTTCTAATTGTTTCTCTGAGAACGATGCATGGTTTAAAAAAAAAAAAAAGAAAAAAAAAAAAAAAGAGTTTCTGGATACAAGAGTTACACATTTTGTGCCTGAGGTGCTGGAAGCTACTACCTCAGGGCAGTCATGTTTCTCCCAGAAAGAACACTGAGGGACTAACATATTCCTTACAATGTTTTCCACATGAAAAGATTTGCCAAAGAGCACCTACAACATTTCAGCTACCCAATGTACCAACAAATGACATGTAATGTGATTGCTAATGATAAAAGTTTCCCCAGCTAAATAAAAATG